TTACCGTCTGTCACAGTTTCCTGTGACCCTGTGCATGACCCGCTGGGTCTAGCAAGTGAATATGAGTCCGAGTTTGGTGACGGTTTTGACAGCAGGTTACCGGAAGGTAATAACGCTGTTAGTTTAGGGCTAGATGAGATTTATTCTGACATTTTCCCAGCTGCAGAGGCCGAGGAGCTTATGTCTGATATTTTTGGCGAAGTGAAATATGAACCGGAGGTCCATGAGGGCGTGGCACGGTTGGTTAATTCTGCTTGTACGAAAACAGCAGATACGGCTAAAATGATGGAGAAATATCAGTTGCCAAAGAACTGTGATGGTCTTACGGTGTCACGTTGTAAAAGAGAGATTTGGGGTAAATTGAACAAAAATTTGCAGACGAATGATGCACAATTACAGGAAGTGCAGAAATCCCTGGCCACAGGGCTTATACCTCTGGTTAAGCTAACCCAAAACTTAATGACTTTGCCTCAGTTTAGGGAGACACTTAGGCCTTTGTGTGTTGATGCGTTGTCCTTAGTTGGGAATGCTTTTCAACAATTGTCGGTTAAGAGAAGGTATGGCATGAGGCCAGCCTTACCGGCGTCTTATCATGCTATTTGTGCTAAAGACAGGCCGATGTCTAAGTTACTGTTTGGCGATGAATTAGGCAAAAAAGCTAAAGAACTGACAGAAACATCAAAGGCATTTTATATGTTTTCTGACAACAATAAAGGTAGAACAGCATGAAGCAACCAGAGAGGCCGGGGCGGACGTGGTCGTCCTGTTTTACGGCAGGGCCAGAATTATCACGGCAGAGGCCGGGGGTACAGGAGACAGAATGCTCAGTACCAGCAACAGAGTGTGGATCAGGCACAGGGGCCCCAGAAGTCGAAAGAATATACTTTAAGGTGAGTGAAAATCTACCTTCAGGTCGTTTGAGCTCAAAAGTTTCATTTTGGGAGTCCATTACGGATGATGAATGGGTGTTAGGAACAGTTCGGGGGCTCAGATTAGAGTTTGCTGAGACTCCAGTACAAACTAGGCTTCCTGGTTCTATATCCTTCAATGCACAAGAAATGAAGTTGATTGATAATGAGGTACACAAGTTGTTGAGGAAAGGAGCAATCTCGCTCTCATTAAGTGAGCAGGGAGAATTTATTTCGAATATATTTTTGGTACAGAAGAAGAACGGCAAGTTTCGCTCTGCTATTAATTTGAGGAAGTTGAATGATTGTATAGTGTATCATCATTTTAAGCAAGAAACACTAGAGGTGGTTCTTGAGGCAGTTGAGAGAGGAGACTTGTTTACCTCTATTGATTTGAAGGACGCCTATCTCAGTATTCATGAGCAGTTTCGAAAGTATTTGAAGTTTAGGTGGAGAGATCAGCTCTATGAGTTTGTGTCTATGCCATTTGGGCTTACTAGTGCTCCAAGGATTTTTACCAAGGTGTTGAAACCTATCTTTGCAAAGGTACGCAGTTTGGGCATAATAGTCTTTTACTACACAGATGATTCTCTAGTGAAGGAGAAAAGTAAAGAAGTTTGTGAAGTTAATAGTAAAACATTGGCTAGTACTTTGGTGGAGGCTGGTTTTCAGGTTAATTATGAGAAGTCTTTGTTGGTGGCAAGCAATATCATTGTCCATCTTGGTTATGTGATAAATTCTATTTTGTTCACGGTGTCCCTTCCTGATGATAAGATGGGAAAGATATGTTCAACATGCAAGGTTATATTGGAGACCAGGTCAGTTTGAGAGAGTTGGCAAGTTTGATTGGTTTGTTTACATCAGCTTTGAGGGCGGTGAGACTCTCTGGGCTTTATTATAGGGTCACAGAGAGAGAGAAAACTTCGTACTTGCAGGGAAATGATAATTATGATGAACGAATAGTTCTGTCACCAGAAATAGAATGGTGGATTGCAAATATTAGGCAAATGAATGGTAGGAGCATTAGACCAGAGGACCCATCTGTGGTCATTGAAACAGATGCCTCACTCTTAGGTTGGGGTGCAAAATTGGGAGAGTTAACAACCCAGGGGTTTTGGTCTTTGCAGGAACGGCAGTCCATATCAACTATTTAGAGTTGAAGACTGTATGGTTAGCTATTCAGGCCTTGTGTTCAGACATGTGGAACACCCATATTAGAATCAAGTCCGATAGTACTTGTGCTATTTCTTACATTAATAAGCCGGGTGGTAGTTCACCCCTGTTGAATGAGTTGGCTAAGTCAATATTGATATGGTGTGATGAAAGGAAAATTCATCTATCAGCATGTCATTTACCTGGTGTGGAGAACGTTGACGCAGATTACTTGTCCAGGTCATTAGTATCGTCAGGGGAATGGTCATTGCATGTTGATATATTTAACAGGATTTGTAGGCACTATTTTACTCCTGACGTTGATCTGTTCGCTAGCAGGTTAAATTGTAAGTTACAGAGATTTGTGTCCTGGATGCCTGATCCAGATGCCATGTGTTATAATGCATTTATGACGTCATGGAGTGATCTTACACCTTATCTTTTTCCTCCTTTCAGTTTAATAACCAGGGTCCTACTCAAGGTGAAGGAGGACAAGGTGAGTCAGGCAATACTGGTGGTTCCTTTATGGCGCAAGCAGGTATGGCTACCTATGCTGTTAAACGCTGTTGTGGCTGTACCAGCCCGGCTACCCAGGTGGCGGGACATGCTGCTGTCCCCAAAAGGTGAACCTCACCCGTTGAGGGGAAATATGAGACTGATCGCTTGTTGCGTCTCAGGAGATCCCTTCGGAGGAAGGGACTTTCGAGACAAGCTGCCTTGTTGGTCGTCTCCTCCTGGAGGAGATCAACAACAAAACAGTACGATTTGCCCTGGGGAAACTGGGTATCTTGGTGTCGTGAAAGGCAAGTTGGTACCAATTGTCCCTCTTGCAGTTGATTTCTTACTTGACACTTGACATGTTTAATATGGGTAAGTCCTATGGTTTCATTAATACCCACATGTGTATGTTAGTTCAGACTACAGCATTGTTAGGGAATACCGGTTTAGTTGGAGATTTGGTTATAGCAAGGTTTATGAAATGTTAATTTAATTCTAACCCTCCTAAGCCTCGCTATAAAGCGACATGGGATGTCTCTATTTTGTTAAAACACTTGGAGACATTGTATTCAATTGCAGGGTTGACCTTACCAGTGTTAACTAAGAAATTAGCATGTCTGTTGGCTGTGGTGTCAGCACAGAGGGCTCAAACTTTGGTGAATTTAGAAATCGAATACAGGCAAGATTTAGGCGACAGGGTTGTATTTACTATCCCAGAGCTTATGAAAACAGCTAAACGAGCAAAGCCATTTTATAAAATTAATTTGGAGAAGTATTCTAATCCTAGGCTATGTGTAAACCGTGTTTTGAGACAATACATTAAGGACACTGCTGAACTGCTGAAGTCTAATAAGTTAATAGTCTCTTGCAGACATCCACTGTGCAAAGATGGATTCGTGGTATGATGTCTGAAGCCGGAGTGGATACAGAGACATTCCGACCATATTCGGTAAGAGGAGCTGCTACATCGGCTGCGCTGGCAGGAGGAACATCTCTTCAGGCCATTCTTGAGACAGCATGTTGGAGCTCGTGTGGAACATTTAGGAGGTTATATTTGAGGGATGTCCAGGATTTGGAACCGTCTCCGTCGTTCGCGGATAGCGTGCTTAGCAGGAAGTGACTTTGTCATCCCTATGCTATGTCTGGGGTTTTCTGTCTGAGATCTTTGAATTCAAATTTTGTGTAGTTCTTATTGAATATTATAAAATTTTTGAATGAAGAAAAATCTTTTCTTTTTTTGGTGACGGTTTATTGATTTTGTCGTCAAACACTTTGAAGGTACAATGTAACCGGACAGCAGAGGGCTGAATGGAAAAGAATCTCCCCTTCATCCAAGCATCACCATATGATGAGAGGGATTCTCTGTAATGAAAGAACGAAGGCTGGACGGTTACATTACCCGCCACAATTGCAAGGTATCCCTCCCCTGGGTTGGGGTGGTTTGATTTGTCAACAAAATGGTTGGTCTTTGAATAAGCGTGACCTCGGTACAGTGGTCATGCACGCAATTTTCATGTTGGCCTTTGAAGGTCAGTGTCGCGCACCTTGTAGAGTGACAAGTGCACTGTAACCGTCCAGCCTTCGGGCTTTCATTACAGAGAATCCCTTTCATCCATCACATGGTGATGCTTGGATGAGGGGGAGATTATTCAGGCAAAAAAAAACATATGCAATTGAATTATATCCTGTTACACATATTCTGACGCCTGTACCAGAAAAAGTAGTGCAGTAACGTATTGATTTTTGTTTAATTGTTTTTCATCTACTTTCTAAAATTACGATCGGGAAAAAATCTATTACCGGAATTCTTAACTTCTCGGAGGAGAACATCATTAAAAGGATATTTACGAGTTACACTTTATACAATATTAAGGGGATAGTATGATTGTTTTATGCATATGTTGGAGATTAGAACATAACTTTTGGTTTTCAAAAGAAATGAAGTCGAGTGCTAAAGCGATAAAATCCATGTTTTATATTTCACCTGATATTACGAGTTTTATTTTACCTGATATTACGAGTCAACACTTAAAAAGCAACGCTTACTCTTTTGGGACACCTGGTCTTGTTCTCCTTCTCCTATTTTAGAGAGTTTTCGTTGTAATCGTTCTTTTGTTCACATTTTGCCCTAGTTTAAAGGAATTTCAGTTTTGATTATTGTTATGTTGACGTGTTGGTATTATTTTTAGGGACCCAATATTAATCTAGATGTTTAGGGGCCCGAAATCAATCTAGGGGTTTAGGGACCCACTATTAATCTGGAGGTTTAGGGACCCAGTATTAGTCTAGAGGTTTAGGAGTACATCATCTATTCGGAGGATCATTTGTATCAATTTAGATATCTAGGTGTACATTATCAATTATAAGGTTTAGGTGTACACTAAAAATGTGTTTGTTAAAGGGTACATTTAGAACTTTAGGGGTACATTATTTACTTGGATGTTAAGGGTTACGCTTTACACCTGGAGGTTTAGGGTTACACTGTTTACTTGGAGGTTTAGGGTTACACTTTACACCTGGAGGTTTAAGGTTACACTGTTTACTTGGAGGTTTAGGGTTACACTTTATACCTGGAGGTTTAGGGTTACACTGTTTACTTGGAGGTTAAGGTTTACACTGTATACCTGGAGGTTTAGGGTTACACTGTTTACTTGGAGGTTTAGGGTTACACTGTTTACTTGGAGGTTTAGGGTTACACGGTATACTTGGAGGTTTAGGGTTACACTGTTTACTTGGAGGTTTAGAGTTACACTGTATACTAGGAGGTTTAGGGTTACACTGTTTACTTGGAGGTTTAGGGTTACACTGTTTACTTGGAGGTTTAGGGTTACACTGTTTACTTGGAGGTTAAGGTTTACACTGTATACTTGGAGGTTTAGGGTTACACTGTTTACTTGGAGGTTTAGGGTTACACTGTTTACTTGGAGGTTTAGGGTTACACTGTTTACTTGGAGGTTTAGGGTTACACTTTACACCTGGAGGTTTAAGGTTACACTGTTTACTTGGAGGTTTAGGGTTACACTGTTTACTTGGAGGTTTAGGGTTACACTTTATACCTGGAGGTTTAGGGTTACACTGTTTACTTGGAGGTTAATGTTTACACTGTATACCTGGAGGTTTAGGGTTACACTGTTTACTTGGAGGTTTAGGGTTACACTGTTTACTTGGAGGTTTAGGGTTACACTTTATACCTGGAGGTTTAGGGTTACACTGTTTACTTGGAGGTTTAGGGTTACACTGTTTACTTGGAGGTTTAGGGTTACAATGTATACTTGGAGGAATATGGATACACTGTTTACTTTGAAGTTTACAGGTACTCTGTTCCTCAGATTCAGGGGTAATCATTCTGAATTTTAATGTTTTAATGTACATTATTCGGTTTTAGCTTACACAATAAAAGTCAATAACTTACCCACAACAGACTAGTCCATCTTTGGTGCAGCTGCACTGCTGGCACTGCCTATAGTATAGTTTAGACTCTTCCACCATTAACTTCCGTCGTCGTCTGAATCTGCAGTACATCTTCTCCTCATCTTAAACAAGGAAAGATAACTCCTGTCTTGCATTTTGAAAATTCAGTTTAATTCATATTTAAATGGAAGATGGTGACAAATAAGTCTAGATTTATTGTTATTTACTAACAAATCTCGTCGTTTTAAAACTAATCGTGAAAGCAATGAAAACATGATATCGTGAAATGGCAATTTCATCACTGGGTTTGAGAGATGTAGTTTGATGAAAATGATCGGGAAGTTTTATATCGTCATAATGCTGGCATGTATAACATTTCCTTTGGTGATACAAAACTGGGCGTTTATGATGCTTGTTAGTTACCTGTTGGTTCCGTTGTTATTTACCTTGTTTTCATTTGGGAACGTGAATTTACATATAGTGACAAAGATCTACATGAAGCTGAAAACGTTTACTCTTCCGAAACGCCTAGAAATATTCTCCTTGTACTTTTTCACGAGTCTCCGTTTCTTTTGTTCATATTTCCTATTGGTTTTATTGAATTTGAGTTTGATGATTTCGTTAATATATCTGCATTTTATTTGTTGTTTTATTAAATAAAACCCCCATGTCCAATGAATGATTGCGTTATTTCAGTTTGAAATAGATGCGATGGTGTATAGATAGAAGAATTAAAAGATACGCTTTTTCAAAATTATGAAAATCTCTTTTAAATTTTTTTCATCTAATTGATGTAACATCCGCTTCTAGAAACCTTCCGCTTCTAGAAACCATGTATACACTATCACAATGAGAGATAAACCTTGACTTGATAGTAACAAGAATAGAAGTACGAGGCTTGAGTGAAGAATTGGTTAAGCTACTTCCGACCCAGCAACAAACTGTTTATATAGATACATTTTGATATTCGGGAACCCAATGTAAATTTTCATCATATGCAGGTGAGATCGAATTTACCGTTCCAGATCCGTGACCAGAGCCGGACATTTCATCCTTATTTTTCACTCATCAAAGTTGTGCTCGACCATTTCTTCTTCCAATGCCTTACCTATGTGTTCTTCTGTTGTGCATGCCAACGTGGTAGTGACGAAAACCAGTAGAATTGTAATGATATGTACTGGTCGCATCTTGTTGGTTCCGAACGGCAGAGGAAGTGGCATGTACACAGACATAGTATCTATAAGGTCTTCAGTCATTAATTTCACAACGAATAAATCATACAAGCTAGTCCCGTCGTCAGCTGTATGTCATGAAATAAACGGATTTCAAAAGGAAATGACATGATCAATGTATTTTCAACGAACTTGTTTTGATCATTAAAAGACTTTATTCATACATAACTTTGCAGTTTTAAGATACTGTAATTTGAAAATTTGATAGCACCTGTCAAAGTTATGATGTAGTCTTTGTCAATACGTACTACTTGCAACGCTTGTGGGTATTATTTCAAATTAACTTACTTGAAAATAAAGTACCATGGCCTCTGTACACTAGTACAGGTACTAGAAGTGTATGTTACTTTTCTTCCATCGTTTCGACACTAAAGTGAGTCCATCTGTCTTCAACACAAACCTTGATCTCCTTAAATCGGATAAGTCAGAACATTACCTCCTTTATGTCAGGTAGACAACGGCAGCTGTAGGTTACACAATGTTGAACTTTTAATCCCGATGTTTTATTTAACAGCCGATGGAGATAGTGTGAAGATTTGTGAACAACTCGTTGCACACGTGGTGCAAGATGATTTATCACAAAATGGAAAAATCGTCTTCTTGAAATTCAGTGAACAACTAGGACATCAACATTTCCGTTAGGGAAAGATGATGCCACGAGACATTTTTCGCTGTAAAAAAAGAACAAAAAAAAAGAAAACAAAAACAAAAAGAAAAAAGAGGAAAAACAAAATCCACTCTCTGCAGCAATGTGGTCAGGTGATTCCAGCAATATTTAAAAAAGTAAATCCATACCGGTTACTGACGGATATCCACTAGATTTTATTTGCACATGACCTGATCAAACCAGGGGCTGAGTCGCGTCACTACGTCGATGACATAAAACTTCAAGCTACTGTAACAGTTCTTTGAACGTAATTGCAATACATTGTTCATTCATTGTGATAAAAACTTAGTATTTCCATAGCTTTCTCTGATTTCACGATGAAAGCTGCACTTTTGCGCTGCATCAGCCCTCGGTCAGTTATGTTTCAGATTAACAATAGTGTCTGTATCGCTCACCTGGCTTTGTTTGGCTAAAACAGCATTATCCACACATAAGGAAATGGAATTATAAAGCGTTATGCCTAATTTATCTATTGGACCCCATTATCTGCACCCAAAGGATCAACTCAACCATTTACACAAGTTTCTTTCACCCAAGGACGCTTCAGACCAATTTTAAACAAATTTCTGTGACGGCTATCTGTTCTACAAAAGAATTTTCAAAGTAGAAAGATAAGCCGACCAGATACTGTGTGACGGCTATCTGTTCTCATCGTAGTACAACTGACAAAGACCCTAGAAAATTTTGTAAAAAAAATACCAGATGTGTGACGGCTATCTGTTCTCATCGAGTATAACGACAAAGTAGAAAGATAAAATACCAGAACTGTGTGACGGCTATCTGTTCTCATCGAGTATAACGACAAAGTAGAAAGATAAAATACCAGAATTGTGTGACGGCTATCTGTTCTCATCGAGTATAACGACAAAGTAGAAAGATAAAATACCAGAACTGACGGCTATCTGTTCTCATCGAGTACAACGACAACGTAGAAAGATAAAATACCAGACCTGTGTGACGGCTATATGTTCTCATCGAGTATAACGACAAAGTAGAAAGATAAAATACCAGACAGAACTGTGTGACGGCTATCTGTTCTCATCGAGTATAACGACAAAGTAGAAAGATAAAATACCAGAACTGTGTGACGGCTATCTGTTCTCATCGAGTATAACGACAAAGTAGAAAGATAAAATACCAGACAGAACTGTGTGACGGCTATCTGTTCTCATCGAGTACAACGACAAAGTAGAAAGATAAAATACCAGAACTGTGTGACGGCTATCTGTTCTCATCGAGTATAACGACAAAGTAGAAAGATAAGATACCAGAATTGTGTGACGGCTATCTGTTCTCATCGAGTACAACGACAAAGTAGAAAGATAAAATACCAGACAGAACTGTGTGACGGCTATCTGTTCTCATCGAGTATAACGACAAAGTAGAAAGATAAAATACCAGCACTGTGTGACGGCTATCTGTTCTCATCGAGTACAACGACAAAGTAGAAAGATAAAATACCAGACCTGTGTGACGGCTATCTGTTCTCATCGAGTACAACGACAACGTAGAAAGATAAAATACCAGACCTGTGTGACGGCTATATGTTCTCATCGAGTATAACGACAAAGTAGAAAGATAAAATACCAGACAGAACTGTGTGACGGCTATCTGTTCTCATCGAGTATAACGACAAAGTAGAAAGATAAAATACCAGAACTGTGTGACGGTGTGACTATCTGTTCTCATCGAGTATAACGACAAAGTAGAAAGATAAAATACCAGAACTGTGTGACGGCTATCTGTTCTCATCGAGTATAACGACAAAGTAGAAAGATAAAATACCAGAACTGTGTGACGGCTATCTGTTCTCATCGAGTATAACGACAAAGTAGAAAGATAAAATACCAGAACTGTGTGACGGCTATCTGTTCTCATCGAGTACAACGACAAAGTAGAAAGATAAAATACCAGACAGAACTGTGTGACGGCTATCTGTTCTCATCGAGTATAACGACAAAGTAGAATATAACGACAAAGTAAGATAAAATACCAGACTGTGTGACGGCTATCTGTTCTCATCGAGTATAACGACAAAGTAGAAAGATAAAATACCAGAACTGTGTGACGGCTATCTGTTCTCATCGAGTACAACGACAAAGTAGAAAGATAAGATACCAGCACTGTGTGACGGCTATCTGTTCTCATCGAGTATAACGACAAAGTAGAAAGATAAAATACCAGCACTGTGTGACGGCTATCTGTTCTCATCGAGTATAACGACAAAGTAGAAAGATAAAATACCAGAACTGTGTGACGGCTATCTGTTCTCATCGAGTATAACGACAAAGTAGAAAGATAAAATACCAGAAATACCAGAATTGTGTGACGGCTATCTGTTCTCATCGAGTACATCGACAAAGTAGAAAGATAAGATACCAGAACTGTGTGACGGCTATCTGTTCTCATCGAGTATAACGACAAAGTAGAAAGATAAAATACCAGACCTGTGACGGCTATCTGTTCTCATCGAGTATAACGACAAAGTAGAAAGATAAGATACCAGAACTGTGTAACGGCTATCTGTTCTCATCGAGTACATCGACAAAGTAGAAAGATAAGATACCAGAACTGTGTGACGGCTATCTGTTCTCATCGAGTATAACGACAAAGTAGAAAGATAAAATACCAGCACTGTGTGACGGCTATCTGTTCTCATCGAGTATAACGACAAAGTAGAAAGATAAAATACCAGAACTGTGTGACGGCTATCTGTTCTCATCGAGTATAACGACAAAGTAGAAAGATAAAATACCAGAACTGTGTGACGGCTATCTGTTCTCATCGAGTATAACGACAAAGTAGAAAGATAAAATACCAGACCTGTGACGGCTATCTGTTCTCATCGAGTATAACGACAAAGTAGAAAGATAAGATACCAGCACTGTGTGACGGCTATCTGTTCTCATCGAGTATAACGACAAAGTAGAAAGATAAAATACCAGAACTGTGTGACGGCTATCTGTTCTCATCGAGTATAACGACAAAGTAGAAAGATAAAATACCAGAACTGTGTGACGGCTATCTGTTCTCATCGAGTATAACGACAAAGTAGAAAGATAAAATACCAGAACTGTGTGACGGCTATCTGTTCTCATCGAGTATAACGACAAAGTAGAAAGATAAAATACCAGCACTGTGTGACGGCTATCTGTTCTCATCGAGTACAACGACAAAGTAGAAAGATAAGATACCAGCACTGTGTGACGGCTATCTGTTCTCATCGAGTACAACGACAAAGTAGAAAGATAAAATACCAGATCGAGTATAACGACAAAGTAGAAAGATAAAATACCAGAACTGTGTGACGGCTATCTGTTCTCATCGAGTATAACGACAAAGTAGAAAGATAAAATACCAGCACTGTGTGACGGCTATCTGTTCTCATCGAGTATAACGACAAAGTAGAAAGATAAAATACCAGCACTGTGTGACGGCTATCTGTTCTCATCGAGTATAACGACAAAGTAGAAAGATAAGATACCAGCACTGTGTGACGGCTATCTGTTCTCATCGAGTATAACGACAAAGTAGAAAGATAAGATAGATAAAATACCAGAACTGTGTGACGGCTATCTGTTCTCATCGAGTATAACGACAAAGTAGAAAGATAACCAGACTGTGTGACGGCTATCTGTTCTCATCGAGTATAACGACAAAGTAGAAAGATAAAATACCAGCACTGTGTGACGGCTATCTGTTCTCATCGAGTATAACGACAAAGTAGAAAGATAAAATACCAGAACTGTGTGACGGCTATCTGTTCTCATCGAGTATAACGACAAAGTAGAAAGATAAAATACCAGAACTGTGTGACGGCTATCTGTTCTCATCGAGTATAACGACAAAGTAGAAAGATAAAATACCAGAACTGTGTGACGGCTATCTGTTCTCACGACGAAAGTAGAAAGATAAAATACCAGAACTGTGTGACGGCTATCTGTTCTCATCGACGGCTATCTGTTCTCATCGAGTATAACGACAAAGTAGAAAGATAAAATACCAGCACTGTGTGACGGCTATCTGTTCTCATCGAGTACAACGACAAAGTAGAAAGATAAGATACCAGCACTGTGTGACGGCTATCTGTTCTCATCGAGTACAACGACAAAGTAGAAAGATAAAATACCAGAACTGTGTGACGGCTATCTGTTCTCATCGAGTATAACGACAAAGTAGAAAGATAAAATACCAGAACTGTGTGACGGCTATCTGTTCTCATCGAGTACAACGACAAAGTAGAAAGATAAAATACCAGCACTGTGTGACGGCTATCTGTTCTCATCGAGTATAACGACAAAGTAGAAAGATAAGATACCAGAACTGTGTAACGGCTATCTGTTCTCATCGAGTACATCGACAAAGTAGAAAGATAAGATACCAGCACTGTGTGACGGCTATCTGTTCTCATCGAGTATAACGACAAAGTAGAAAGATAAAATACCAGAACTGTGTGACGGCTATCTGTTCTCATCGAGTATAACGACAAAGTAGAAAGATAAGATACCAGACCTGTGTGACGGCTATCTGTTCTCATCGAGTATAACGACAAAGTAGAAAGATAAGATACCAGCACTGTGTGACGGCTATCTGTTCTCATCGAGTATAACGACAAAGTAGAAAGATAAGATACCAGCGCTGTGTGACGGCTATAACTGTGATACCATGACTTTCATAACGACTGTGCTAGTAGTTGCATCGTATTTTTCATTAACCGTGAAAATAAATTGTGTTTTCATGAATAATTGGAAAAAAAAGGATTTCCCGAAAAACAAAATCTTATTTCATGTGTGATTGGATATTTTTTACACTTTAGTGCGACAGAGATGCGAACTAATGGGCTCGTTTCCGTCCTATGTAATTGAAAGTCATGCAAGAGCTTACATCAATTCGAATTCTCAAAATTACTGGGAAAATTCTGAATATCTATTCCTTATCTATTTAAGTAGATGCCGACCGTGATATATAGCCGACAAGGAAAGTCATAACCCGTTGGACTTTTATATTCAAAATCACGATGAGGATTTGTTTTCATTTCTTTTAATCTGCTGTTCCAGATACACTAGTTAAGATTTGCTACAAATGTTTACTACACAATCATCAGATAAGAACAACGCAATATGTTGTAAATTTAATCACACTATAAACACTACCACGGGTATGTTATCAGTGACCACGTGTTAACACGATGTCAAACGTATATCTCTGTCCGGCACACCACAGATACAATGGATATATATAGTATTATAAAATCCATCATCACTTTGATCGCCCAAATAAGGCTGTATTTTGGACAACTTCCGCAACCCCGTTCTAACGTGTCGGAGGTACCTTTCGCCGTTGTGTGGAATGTACCATCGGCTGTCTGTCAAGACAAATTCAAAGTGCTGCTGAACTTATCACATTATGGCATCATACAAAACCTGAACCAGTCGTTCTTCGGTGAGAATATTGTTCTGTTTTACGAACCAACCCCGGGATTATATCCTAAATATTTAAGCAATGGATCGGCTATCAATGGAGGTCTACCCCAGGTAAGTTTGTTATCAACAACTAGACAAGGTACCAACACCTTTGACATTTCATCACGCTAAACTATAAAAACATGGCCAACTAGCTTCAAAGAAACTTAACCTACAACAGGACAGTATGCGTCAGTCTCGCCATCACACATTGACATTGAATTACAGCCCACTATCATACATATTTGCGACGTGCATGAATATATTTGTCGATTAAGACTAAGAGTGATATATACGTGGACTGCTTGATAACTTGTGAGCCTCATATATAAGTATTTGACCTTTGGCGAATATATTGCATTATTTTTCAACATAATCCCCTTCAATATCTATACACTTTTGTCAGCGATGTTTAAGGCCTCAAAGCCACTTTTAAAGAAGTCCTTTTCTTGATCGTTCATAACGTCCTCCACTGCATGACGTCACCACCTAGTACCGGAAATGGCTTTTTCAATCTTGGAAATAGATGAAAGTCTGATGAAAACAGATCAAGTGAATAAGGCGGATACTCCAATTCAAAGCCACAATCACTAATGGCAACCATAGCAATATTAGACATGTGAAAAGGGGTTTAGTCCTGGCGAAACAACACACCGTTACTAAGTTTCCCGCGATGCTTGAGTTTGATATTTTCTCTTAACTGCCGAAGAAGTTCTGCATAATACGTGCCATTAAGTGTTTGTCCCTTTTGTAGATAATCTACTATCAGAATGCCACCAGCATCCAATAAAACCGAGATCATGGAGCCGATGGAACAGTCTTTGCCTACTTCGGCGGGGGTAAACCAGAGTTGTTCCATTGTTAAGACTGTTGTTTGGTCTTTGGGGTGAAATGATGGATCCACGTTCCTTCCATAGTCACAAACCTCTGCAGAAATCTAACAGGATCTGCCTCGAAAAGGTTCAGATTAGCACGCGACAAAGTCCGCCTGGTGTGCGTCTGATCAACTGTCAGAAGTCTTGGTAACCAACGGACTTAGAGCTTTCTGTTTGTAAGATCTACCGTAAGAATTGACTGTACTCTTTCCTGTGAAATCCCAACTGTACTGGCTATATCTCTCTCTCGCGTGTCATCCATTACAATATCATCTACTTTACTGACTGTTTTTGGGGTTGCAACAGTGGCTGGCCTTCCAGAACGGGCGTCATCGCCAAGGCACTGCCTGTTGCGCTTAAAATTCCGCCGCCATCCACCATTTCACTGTAGTATATGAAGAGGCATCACGCCCTAGTGTTGCTACCATATCAGTATGGATATCCTTAGGTGCTAGACCTTTCTTGTACAAATAATGAATCACTGCTCTCTCAGCGATTTGGCCAATTTGGTAAAACGTCGTATGTCTTGTTTACTTTAGAGTTCTACCTCTTCGACATAAACTAACCAAAGGACACCAGTCTTCGGGTACACAACCTTAAATAGTCATTTGATTTTGTATTTAACAGGTTTTACGTCCACTATTATGACCTTTCAGAGTAAAAATAGTCAGGGAACAGTAAAGCTGAAAAAGGACATCCCTGCTTAACTTCTTCCATAAAAGGCTCACAACTTATCAATTAGCACTCGGACACTGCCGATACCGTAAATCTTGACCAATCCAAGTAAGTGATGTCACGTTCCGAAAAGAAAACAAGGTAAACAGCAGAACCACATGCATACGGACAATCATGAGAAACACTTTCAGCTTCATATCAAACAAAGAAAAGGTAAACTTCCTCTTTAGTCAGACAATCATCTAATTAACTTCAACAAACACTTTTATATGATATGTACACAATGCGATTTTAATGATGTCTTTGAGTGATCATTTATTGACTTGTAAACAATTTCTATCTCTTCTATCAAACATTGCATCTCCGATTAAAAACTTTCGGTACACAATCTTAATGTGCCTATATATATATATATATATATATATATATAACGATCATAACCCGAACTATAAAACATACGCGTGGTATAACAATAACTGAATCCCTCGGAATTAATTCCAACTTTACACGTATAGTTTGACAATAATGACCATCTCGGGTCTCAAATCCATAACATTAACAGCAGTACTGTGATAGTATGGCTGGCCACAACATTTTATTATCGGACAATACAAAGATGGAAAAAATGATAACAAAATTAGGAGTTGTGAAGTTTTCACTACTTTCTAAGAGATATAACACGCTGCCAATCTATATGTGGTTATCGATGTTACGAGAAATGTCTATTTTATTTTTGTTACATACATTGTTGAACAGAAATCCAAACTACAGAAACATTTAAGGAGAGTGCAGTATGATGTCAACAGAACTATCCCTGTAGCCGATTTCTCAGGTCTGGCTGTGATAGACTGGGAAAGTTGGAGACCCATCTTTGATAGGAATATGTACGACAAATCACAGGTGACGTATATCACGAAATCAGAGGGTCTAGTCAGACAATACCATCCCACGTGGAATGATTCTCAGGTGAAGATAGAGGCCCGGAAAGAATTTGAAACAGCTGCAAGGTAGGTACAGGACGAATTACAACCTTATTCTGTCTAGCTAATAAATGGGATGATAATAATAACAAAACAAAACGAGTCTCTTAACATTTATAATAGGATTGCTTCCAATAGTCTGTTTGTTCTTAACAAGGAGTTATGTATAGTTTTATGTGTTACCTATGAAAAGTTACACTTCAATTTGTTTTGGTGATTTGTGCAATACAAATTCAACAGAATTTCAACATATTAATCTAATGAAAAGTTTTTAATTTTTTTCATGTTACGTGTCATTTTCTTACCTGGTATGAAATGGTTTTGCTTCATCTAAGATAGTCTGTCTTGAGCTTGAATAAACTCGGATATACATAAGACACCTTCTAACATGTAACAAGTCTCCCAGTCTAGTATTGGTAGGTAATATTAATGAATTAAAATCATGGTCACCAGAGGGACTGCTGTTTTTACCGGATTTATCTATCTCAGCAAACATTAAATTTGGTATTACTTACATCATAGAATCTAACGGCATTTAAATGTCCTGTGTCAACCTCCAACAACCATGTCTGGACATTTCTCTTGAATTGACCAAGGTCAAATTATCTTTGCACACTTTCAAATATCTCCTTGCTGAATATTACATTTGTTCATATTTTGCCTTAATTTCATAGATTTTCAGTTTGAATTTTGATTTTGTTTATCAGTCAGTGTTTTCTTGTATCAGCTGTATTGAGACATCCTGTATCAGAGGAGGTAAAACCCAAAAAAACAATATGATAAAAATAATCAACTCAATTGAAAATAGGCTAACAAATTTATTCATCAATATTTAATGAAGAAAAAATAAATTCATTACAGAAACAGGGTAGAAATAGACTTAACTGTCAATAATATGTAATGATATATAACAATAAACCATTTCTGTTTTCAGGACTAAGCTACATAAGTTCTGTTATTAATTTGAATCGATTACTCCAACACTTAAAGCACATTCCATTTTAATGGATATTCTTCTATCTAAGTAAAACACCTCAATTGTTCTGCTGTACCAGTCACTGACAGCTCGAGGATACAACCTATCACACTAAGTTATACCAGGATTCCCTTTCCAATCATTGTAAAGCATTGCCTGGTTAGAATTTCAAAATATCAGAAAAGTCTGTTATTTCTTTCAGTACATTATGCAAAAGTTTCGTTAAAGACTAATTATTATTGGTTTGACAGTTTTAAACTTTCAGCTTAATCCTAGCATGATTGAAAAAACATAGCAAGACATGAATGCTATTCACCCATGAAATTTAGTTTGATTAACAAGTTTCTTTAAATTTGACCTCGATCTTGAAACCCTGAAATACCAACTTATCTAAGGTAATTTCATACTTTAATTATTAAGTTTCCATGTTTGACCGAATTATGTTAAGAATTATAAAGCTGATCACCTGACAACACTGCTGCTCATAAAAATAAAATTGGTGTAGCTTGAAATAAAGATATCATATCATTTTCCAGAATCCTCTAACATAAACAATTTTAACTTATTTCTTTAATATGTCATATTTCATCCAAATTTCTCAAAATTCAATTATGACTTAAACAAAGAAATATTTAAAGGCAACAAATGGATTGCATACTTTTTGTTGCATTATGTTGCAACAGTTTATAAAATTGCAATAGAGTCGTCTTTTTGACCGGAATATCAAAAGAAAACTGCTGTATCATTAGGCCTGCATTTCTTGTATCCGTAGTGAGGTCTCTTGTATTGTCAGGCTTTGCGTTGCTGAAATCATTTCTGTACATCTGAGGAGAAAGAGAAGCATTTGGATAAAGGCTGTAGAATATTTATCTAGTAGTCTGATCATCACCTAATTCTTTCCTTGGAGGTAATTAAAATATTTACATATGTAAGTTGAAAGTTCATATGACAAACTTGAATAAAGTATATGAAAATCACCAGACATAAGAACATTTTGGACAAGGCCTCCTACAGAGATGTCAGTAAACATTGTACCTACTGTCAGAGTTCATGAGGTCAGTAAACATTGTACTTACTGTCAGAGTTTGTGAGGTCAGTAAACATGGTACTTACTGTCAGAGTTTGTGAGGTCAGTAAACATGGTAATTACTGTCGGAGTTTGTGAGGTCAGTAAACATTGTACCTTCTATCAGAGTTTGTGAGGTCAGTAAACATTGTACTTACTGTCAGAGTTCATGAGGTCAGTAAACATTGTACTTACTGTCAGAGTTTGTGGGGTCAGTAAACATTGTACTTACTGTCGGAGTTTGTGAGGTCAGTAAACATGGTAATTACTGTCGGAGTTCATGAGGTCAGTAAACTTTGTACTTACTGTCGGAGTTTGTGAGGTCAGTAAACATTGTACTTACTGTTGGAGTTTGTGAGGTCAGTAAACATGGTAATTACTGTCGGAGTTCATGAGGTCAGTAAACTTTGTACTTACTGTCAGAGTTCATGAGGTCAGTAAACATGGTAATTACTGTCGGAGTTCATGAGGTCAGTAATCACTGTACTTACTGTCGGAGTTCGTGAGTTTGAGCGTCCACAGCTTTCTCCATGGCGCCCAGAGCCTTAGACATTGCTGTTACTGTAGTCACTGGTTGTCTGATCATCACTGATAACTCTCCCAGCAATTGTTCACTTGTTGACAGTTCCTTTTCTAATTTTCCTAAAACAAAGTTTATGATAATCACATACACATCCATAATTATACTTTGCTATATTTCCATTTTTCCACATTTACCTTAAATAATGACCTTATAACTTGATAGTTATATGATGATTAAAATAACCAAATCAACATATTTAGAATGCAGGAGAATCATTGTGATATCATTTTTTGAAAATATAAAATTTTGCACAAATACATAATTTAATTTTTACATCCCTATTTTAATATGTCCATATGATTTCAGTATCAGTTTTAAAGAACATATTTGTTTTAGTATTTTAATATTCATGCATCACATACATTACAAATGAAAATTTAATTTCACAAATAACATCAGTGTGAACAGTTGCCTAATAAACCTGAACTTACTTTGGAGTTGTTCTTCATCATCAGGCAGATAAACACCTTGGGTAGCAATCTGGTGACGGGTGGTGTCCAGAGCATGGGCTAAACTCTCATACTCCCTAGACAACTTGGGTAAATTGGCAACAATTGGTCCTAGTAACTGGCGCTAAAACCAGAGAAATATTGACTCAAGAATCATCTCCCCTTTATAGTGTTGTTTACTGTGATATAGGTCAGTACATGAAATGTATGTAGACTGAAACAAATCTGGAGACCTTAATTCTTCATTTTCATATTATCTGAATTAAATGAAATAACACTTTTGTCCTTTTTTCAAGGCTTTCAGCAACACATTTTTTCTTTTATGTAAGTCCCAACTTTGTCTAAAATAACCCAAAAAAGTCCTAAAAAGCACAAAATTCAGGGAAAAAATGCAGTTGAAAGAACCAAACACACAATTTCTAGTTCTGTATGAAAAATTGAACTACCTGTGTAATTGTATTGACCAATACTGACCTGTTGATCCACTTGATCGTCCACCAAATTCAGGTGTTTCTGGCGCGCAAGTCGGATATCCAAATCATGTTTTTTCTTGCGGAGTTTTTCAACTTCCTCATGTAGACTGTTTAACTGGGCCTATTCAATAAGGATAGTGGCCAGAGGATGATAGCTATTCTGTCGTTAGTTCAAAGTATTAACTTGTGTCTGTTTGGCCTCATTATTTAACTAAACTTACCAAAAAAAATTTTTTTTTTCTTAATACTAACTAGCTAACAACACTATTGACATCCTAATATTTTAATCTACTAAATAGACAAAATGGAGAAATCACGCTTTATACTGTGCGAAAAAATTCTCAGTTTGTTCAAACTAAAGTACCAATATTTCCTTAGTCTGTATTTTGCCCTTGCTTCATCAATTTCAAGTGGCGATTGAGATTCTGTTGACAAGCCCGTATTTTCTTGTCATTTTCATGAATTCATGACCAACTTAGTCCTAGTTATTACAATCATATCATAATCTGCTTTAGACATAATGTTCTGATATTGCTATCTCTTACACCAGCTACCATTCGATTGGTCCATATTTTAAAATATTAGATTTTTTATAAGGCCTACCATTTCCCGTTTCTCCTGTTCTTCGCGTGACTTCTTGGCCTTGGTGTACAAATACAGCCACTGTGTGTACCGCATGTATAGCAAGTCCATCTGACCCTCGGTCAACTTTGACTGGAAAGTACACACAAACACAATAGGTACATAATTATACTGCCTCATCTAGGCACACACACAGTACATAATCATATGGCAGAGTCTTGGCACACACAGTACATAATTATACGGCTGAGTCTTGGCAAAAACACAATACATAATTAAACAGCCGAATCTTGGGACACACACAGTACATAATTATACTGCGGTGTCTAAGCACACAAACATTGATACTGCTGTGTTTAGGCATACACAAACACAGTACTTATTTAAACTGTTA